ATAGAATAATATAATATAATGTGAAATAGCATAATATGAGATTATGTGATATGATATGATATATTATGACATAATAATCACTGTGTATATTTAGTACAACAAAATGTTAATTTACTGTCTGCTGAAAAGTTATTCCATGCACACATGCACATTTCCTTCTACATCCTCTAAATTATGTAACATATACTTTATCGCTTTATTTTTAATTCTAAATGTTTAATGAAACAGATTATTTCATGTTTATGAATGATTCCTCTCTGGTTCCCTTATACAATATGGCATACACAACTATTATAACAATACATATCTCAATAAACAACGTTTGACACCACAGTGACTAGACAAATTACGTCTTCAACGTCAATCCAAGAAAATAAATCGCTAAAAAGGTTAAAAAAAAAAAAAAAAGTTAAAGCCGGAAACTGTCCGCCCGTGTCGTCGTCTGCATGAAACTCCGTAGCTACAGTGACGTTCCTCCATTTACCCCAGAGTGTTAACTCTGGTACCCATTACCTAGAGGCTGGGTGAACCCCGGAACGCGCCCGGTTTCGAACACCGGCCGTGGGCTGCAGCAAGTCGCAGCTTGATTTGAAAGCAAGTCTCCTATCGACTGCGCCATGGCCTTCAAAATCGCTGATACTCTGTTAAATCTCCGAAGTTATTAGGGTACCCTAACAGCTATTACTACGCTGATCTACAATGATGTCCTGTCTCCATAAGGTAAAACAAAAAATTAAAAGACCCTTTTCCACACCTTTAGGCGTATAGTGCATATAGGGCTAGACCTATATTTTTTATAGACCAATCGGCACAAGATGGGTGATGTGGTCAGCATCACGCCGCCGCCTTTACTTCACGGGGCTGCACCCGGTACCCAATCAAGGCTGGGTCGACCTGGGAGCCAAGGTCATTTTTGAAGAAAAGTCCGGCTCCACCTGGAAGCGAACCCATGACCTTCCGATCCGCGGCGTGCGCCTAGCCGCTCCGCCACATCGACTAACAATGTCAAGAATAATACCTAATCATGTTTCTTCACTTCTCCTTCTGGGACTGCAGTCTAAAAAAAAATTGACATATAATGACTCAGACAGCAACTTCTTTAAGTCCATGTTGTGTGGCACTGGCAGTCATATCTATCCACAACCTTCTGACTCGTGCACTTTCAATCAAAGCTGCCACAGATGATTCTCCATGCCATGATGTCAAACTGTCCAGCGTCTTTTCTCTCGGTCTCCCTCTGCCTTTCCTCCCCTCCAACTTTCTTACTGTCCTGATGGACTCCAGTTTTCTTCTTCTCATCACATGACCAAAGAATGTACAATGTATTTTTCCTGTTGTGAGCATTAAGCTCTCTTCGTGGGTCAGTTTCCTTCAAGACATCTTCATGCCACTTAATGGAAGCAAATCCACCAGGAGCACATCCCATACATGACAGAACCTAGAACAGTTATATTAGGGCAAATGCCTAAGATTATGAATTAACCGGCTGTCTTCTGTGGGTGGGGTCTATTCTCTGCTTACCTTATTTTGTTTTTGTATTCTCCCACTCTAGGCTAGGAAACTGAAAGCTTAACATCCACTGACTCAAATCAACACTATTCTATAAGAAACCTACTGGAGCAAATCCTAAAAACACCATTCAACAATATAAAACGTTTATTTTGGGGTACCGTACTGAAATGTTTTATCGAGCCTGTTTTCTTGTATGGCAGTGAATCTTGGAATGTGAGCAACCAAATGAAGAAGAGTTTGGAGGCAACTAGGATGTGGTTATTGAGAAGAAAAGTTGCTAATACCTTGGTCTTTCAGAATAACTAACAATGATTGCCTGGAAATAATTAATGAAAGTAGAACATTATATACAACAATGAGAAGGAGACACACTTATTTAGTCACGTGATGAGAAAAGGAGCACTGGAGAATTTGGTGACGACTGGACAGATCACTGGTAGAAGAGGTAGAGGCAGACCGAAAGAATGATGGTGAATAGCTTAAGGCAGTGGCGTGAAGGAATATCATTAGTGGAATTGATCCAGAACACCAAAGACCGAGTTCTGTGGAGATTCATGAACGACTTCGCCAGCTGAGAAGGCACTTTATGAGGATGATGACTGTACTCTTATGAAGCAGCCTGCAGTATAACTGCCAGTGACGTAAAAGGATACGAACTGGTTGATATGAATGTAACAGGAGCGTGATATTTGTTCTTGAAATTACTGAAATTGTTTTTCTTAGTGCCAAGATTATCAAACGTTGGTTTATATATATATGTATTTAGATATTTTTATATATGTGTGTGTGCTGTGTATATATATATATATATATATATATATATATATATATATATATATATATATATATATATATATATATATATATATATGTGTGTGTGTGTGTGTGTGTGTGTGTGTGTGTGTGGGTATATATATATATATATATATATATATATATATATATATATATATATATATATATATTCAAGTAAGCAATAACAAAACAAAAATTAATTCACACATTGCATGCAATTTTTAGATTTTAGAAAGAGTAAAGCAAGTATATTACTGTCTCATTACGAGCTTACCTCACTTTCCTCTGACTCCTGAGATATTGTAGAACTGGGTCTACGCTTTGAAAAAGATATCACTTGCTCCTAGTATTCACATTTCAACAGGAAGGAAAGCTTTGTCAGTCACCAATTTACGAAGGATTCATTATTATTATAATTCCAGTATGGATACTGCTGTTTGAGTCTGATGTACTGTCGTCCCTAATTTATGAGATATGCTCAGTAATTTTAATATATTAAAGCTTCTAGCTTCATCCACATCAGAAAGAAACAGTCTACATTCTTTGGTCATGTGATTATAAGGAAAACTGGAGTACATTGTGACGGTGGGAAAGCTTGAAGGGAGGAGAGGCAGAGAGAGACCGAGAGAATAGATGCTGGACAGTCTGACATCATGGCATAGAAGATCATCTGTGTCAGAGTTGATTGAATGTACACAAGAGAGAAAGTTGTGTATAGACATGATTACCAACGCCACACGGCATGGACTTTAGGCAGAAGAAGCAGAAGGAGTTTTGTGAAAGATACTGCTTTTTGAATGTGAAGTAGCCGCTGATTTACAAGCAAAAGTAAAGGATTATTTATAAGATGTAGCTTTTTTAAAGGATTCTGCCTGTTGAGTGCGAAATAATCACAAATTAACAATTAATTATAATTATGTGTTAAATATAATCTCCTAATGGATTCTCTTATTTGAGTGTGAAGTAGTGACTAATTTACATAGGTAAGAAGACCTTTTTGAGCCTTTGTCACAACTCCCTCCATATGATCCTTGAAAGACAAACTTCTGTCAAAGGTGATTCCCAAGTACCGCAGTCTGCTGTCTCTTTTGATGTCCCTGCTATTTATTTTGAGTCTGGGAACATCAGCTCTAACAATCCTGTTGTCAAAAGAATACCACAGCACGGTTGCCTTTTCTATGTTGATTACAGCACTCATCTCTGTACACAAGTCGATCACCTTATCTGCTGTCGCCTGTAACTCTTCAGCTGTTTTATTCCGATCTCTTCCCTTCCTATATACGAGAACATTATCTGCAAATGTCAGTATTCTACCAACTCCATGTATTTCCAGGGGTGCAATCTTTCTCATAAAATCAGTAGAGGTGAAATTGCCGCTCCCTGTGGTAACAGAACAGTTAAGCACCACAAGGCAAAATGTTACCAACGAAAAGTACTAGCAGGTTTGTCTTCAACTTCATGATGCTGGGTGGCCTAAATGTATCTTTGATTCATCAAGCTTTATATATTCTTGGCATTGCTTCATTAAATATGTGGCTTTTGGTCAGGTTGGTAATGCCATTGAAAGAAAATTTGATTGGATACTAGAGAAGTGATAATTCAAAATCGGAAGATGTGCTCCATTTACAAAAAGGCGTTTTTTGAAATGCTTTTAATAATGGGTGGATAACTGGAAAAGCAAGTACGGTCAAAGCGGAGACATTCTGAGGGGGATTAGCGTTTCATATCTCTAGGTGGGTAACTATTTTTCTCCTCATCTCAGTTGAGAAACTTTTTAAAAACAGACTTCATATTAGGTCTGACTGACTGACTTTCTACCCCACTAGGACATCACACAAGCGCTAAACACCCGATGACACAAAGTGCCACCATGTGGATGAGGATCGCCGTGGAGAGGTCCCAGAAACCTCGTTCAGACAATTGGCCATATTTATGGCCTGCCTATATTGCGGCCTCTGCAAAAGCCAGGGTGGGGCTTCAAATAACAAAAGATTTCATCCTCAAAAGGACGAAACTGGATTGATAACTCAATGACGCTAGATTCATATTAGGTGTTACAATTAATAAAAAACAATCCTGAATTGGATGAAACACAAGATTTTTCCACAAAATTTTACTGCTGATGAACTCTAAGAAGAAGAAGCAGAAGGCTGCGTCAGCTTAGGAGTCCTATATCAATTATATAAAGCTGCTTCTAAAATCTGTGGATTTGAAAACAAAATATACAGGTCAGCAGGCAACTGTCTCTACTACAATGGCTTTCAAAGTCTTTCTGTTCTTGATAATTATTACGCTAAATCCTTCTGACCTGGCGTTTTAGATACTCAGGGCTTTTTTCTGATGGTGCGCAATGGGGTGCAGAACTGGCACTTTTTTATAGCTATAATTTTTTCAGTGCTGCTATAACAGAACATTGTAGTGAGTACTAGCAGCTTTTTCTTTCTCGATGTTTTGTGATGAGTACCGGCACTTTTTTCCCCCTAGAAAAGAATATTTTGCCCAGGAAAAGGAATAGCTATTGATCATATTCAAAGAGTTAATTATTGTTAAGATAACTAGCAGGATTTTATTTATTATTTTCATACAGTTTATTATAGTGTAATGTCCACAGATGCATGCTTACCCAGACATGCAATACAAAGTTGTTTATGCAAAAACATAGAGAAATTAACAAAAATTAAAAGTACACTTGCTAAATTCGATGTAGGATTCAACGGTGGGCTGCCTGCTCCTCCAATAATTCTTGGCAAAGTAACTTCACTCCTACGTCTCATCTGAAATAATTTAATGACACAATTAGAGGATGCTTTCGGTGCTGGGTTGCAACTGGGATATATTACTAGTATCATAGTTATGTTTAATAGATCTGAAATTTAATCTTGGAAGAAAAATTGCTTTCCTATGATTAAGGTCCGCGTGGTTTCCAATTTCCTTCGGACGAGCACCCACTTGAAATGAACCTTGGCTTTACATGAAATGATGTTTGGTTTACACCGACTTTATCATCTAGGGTTGAAAACACAAACTCCACTCAGCTCCTTTGTACATGCTGTCAGTTTATTCAGTTACATTTATTTCCTATGCTTCAATAATTATTCACACTTCTATCACTCGCGACATATTCAAACACTAACCACTCGCGCGACATAAAGACGACCTCTTCAACCAAATGCAACCGTCTTCCTCGACTTCTGTTGATCCACTGACCACGAGTCTAGCTCGGACTTCCCCTCGCTTACTCGACTAGCCACAAGTATCTCGTGCTGTCACTTGTAGCACGGACTTTCTGCTTGCCACAATGTAATCGTGGAGACCATGCAAAGCAGGGTCATCACAAGATCCATTCGCACTTGATGTGTGATAAGTCAACACTACACAAGTCAATGTTACTGTATACTGTACAGAATTATCCTATCTAGGTCTGAGGCCCAATTTGAGAGTGGAAAAGAATAGACCTAACAACCCCACATCCCCTCCCCCCCCCCTCACCCCCCCCCCCACCTTTTTTCCCACCAAGCTTGACATAAAAGGTGACTAACTGAGGCGATTCTTTCAAAGTCAGCATCTTCCTAAGAGGTGAGGAATCAACAATCTTCAACCAAATAGGCTAGATTTATACAATTCTTGCAAAACTCGTTTTCTAGAACATGACTGAAATTCAGAAGTGTCTGAAGTGTCACCGTTTTTTGTCTGAGTGGGCCTGGGAACAAGACAAAGTGCAGAAGTGGATGAACAATCAGAACTTTCCACTGAAGTTTACAACTATGGAATACTAAAAAAAGAAGCAGAAGAATTTTCCATAACATTTCTAGGTATTAGTAGAATAGGTTAATCTTGTCAATTTTTAAACTGTAATCTTTAATAGGGATTTGAATCCATAAATACTAGGCCAGAAGGCATGTAAGCTAGCCCTTTTCCTATATTTGTGTACAGAAGTTTACTTTAAATCATAAACTAATAACATTCAAACAATTCAAATTGTCAGTTGCCACATTATCAGTAACTATTTAAAAATACAAATTTGAAACTGACTATAAGATAGAGAATTAGACGGGCAGACTATAAGTAATTTAACCTCTGCTTTCAATATGGGAATCTTAAGTAACCACTTGAAGATTTTGTGAGCTTTTGGGTCATTAAAAAAACTGAATCTGCTCTGGAGAAACCGAGCTTGAAGAGTTAGAATTATACATTTATTTATTTAGTAGTGTTGACATTGCTTTGGGACATATACCGACGTGAAATAGAATATATCAGGTTAGAGAAACTTTTATAGCATTATGAAATCTGTTGAAGTCAGCTGGAAAAAAAAAAAACCAAGTACCAAATAGTCGACTGTACTCCATACACACATCTGAACAAGCAGGTCAGGACTGCCAGTCCTCAACAAGATCTATCCAGCAGATACCAGCTATAGGACAAATGCTTCAAAAACTGTGGTGTTATTAAACAGTCACCATTGTAGTTGATGAGTTATCAAAAATGCATCAAATACACACAAAGGATTACATGCGGGCCTGTTCTTGAGGAAAAAAGAACATGTCAACAACACATGAATTAAATTTGTTTAGGACTGCCTCCTCAAGCATGCTCTCTGTCACAGGAGTTTAGAAACAGAATTCAATGAGTCATAATAACAAAGCTGCATAACACTATGAGTACTGACCGGTCTACCACTGGGGTTAATGGCACACACTGACATCGATCGTCTGCTGGGTCCTGATTCTTTTTTCATGAAAAATGTATAATTAAAATCAAATATAGATTAAACCATTCTAGCTTAAACAACTCACGTATGTTCTATGTTTAGTACATATACCACATGTATTTTTTAATTCTTTCTGTTATTTGTTTCTTTAATTATATTGATTTCAAGAAGAGCACTATATGTGCACTGGTCTGACTGTTTAGTCTATAAGATATCGCTTTAGATGTCCTCCTAACATGCACATTTGGTCTGATCACGGTAAAGAAATCTGGCTTTCTTAGTGGTCACATCTGTTATGAAAATAATTTCATTGAAGGTCTTCATAGCAAAGTGATTAAGCCTTTTTTCTCACTGCTCTGAAGGATAACGGCAGTTTTTCTGAGGGTACGGGACTCCCTGCTTCCGCTAACAAGGTGTGTCATCTGTATTATGCTTTCAATGGACAACCGGCCATTTTGGTGAGACAGAACCACATGGAATAAAATCCAATGCAGTGAAGTAGATATCTTGATTTAAACACATTTATAAACCTTCAATAAAAGAACTGTCCTGGTGATTATTTTTAAATGGTTATTTCTCTCATTCACCAAGCTAGCAAGAAGCAGATGAGATATACATGAAAAGATCAATGCCACGAGATGAACAGCAGCAATCTCAAAGAGTAGTAAACTGAATGGAGAGACAAAAAGGGTTGGAAAAAAAATCCAAAACAGCTTACCATAATTGTGACAACAACAAGTGCATTGCATAAATCTTCTACATAGTCTATAATTCAGTAACAGTATCAAATAATCATACCACCAAACATTAACTAAAATTGAATCCATACTTTAAAATCGTACATTCATAATATAATATTTTAATTCACTCTATCTTTTTAACAAAAGTACAATAGACATGAGCACTAAGGTTACATACCAGAGTCGTTACTGTAGCCAGTAACAGATTTCTCACTCAAAAGCTTTCTGCAAAAACAATTTGTGATGACAGAAGTTAAACAATATTAGTCAGGAAAGTATGTGATTTTCTATGCATTATAATCTATAATATTCAAATGCACATCAACTCAATTTTTTTTTAATAAAATTCATCGGAGCTCCTAGTTTAATCCAGCCGAAAATGAAGATGAGGACAGAGCACGCATGGGAATCCCCCGAGTGCTGTGATGTCAATTCTTGACTCAACTCAACTCCACTCAAATCCAGCCTAAAATAAATTAGTTATGTAACCTTTACAGGACGTTGCAGAACCAACTGCAGTATTTGTTTGGGTATATGTTTGTAATCTCACTAGGCAATTTTAATAGTAACTTGCCACTGCTTCCAAACGACTGGCTCTTGATACCCCTGTCGAAACGGAATTACTGCGGAATTATGAAGTGCGTCCGCAATGCCTAAGCTACAGACGTTGAATAACCTTTAATAGGTGCTAGAAAATGTCATGGACGTAAAGGGGGTTGGTGTAATTTTGATCATCTGCCTCACCAAATGTCATAAGTCTATAAAACTATAGATTTAGTACCAAATCTCTGATGTGCCAGTAAATTAAAAAATCCTTAACTGAAAAAAAAAAAAAAATTAATGTGGCACTGAATGATTTAATGTGGCACTGAATGATTTAATGTGGCACTGAATGATTTAATGTGGCACTGAATGATTTAATGTGGCACTGAATGAGTTAACGTTGGCACTGAATGAGTTAATGTGGCTCTGAATGAGTTAACGTTGGCACTGAATGAGTTAACGTTGGCACTGAATGAGTTAATGTGGCACTGAATGAGTTAATGGTGGCACTGAATGAGTTAACGTTGGCACTGAATGATTTAATGTGGCACTGAATGAGTTAATGTGGCACTGAATGATTTAATGTGGCACTGAATGATTTAATGTGGCACTGAATGAGTTAATGTGGCACTGAATGATACGTTAACTCATTCAGTGCCACATTAACTCATTCAGTGCCACTATTAACTCATTCAGTGCCACCATTAACTCATTCAGTGCCAACGTTAACTCATTCAGTGCCAACGTTAACTCATTCAGAGCCACATTAACTCATTCAGTGCCAACGTTAACTCATTCAGTGCCACATTAAATCATTCAGTGCCACATTAAATCATTCAGTGCCACATTAAATCATTCAGTGCCACATTAAATCATTCAGTGCCACATTAAATCATTCAGTGCCACATTAAATCATTCAGTGCCACATTAACTCATTCAGTGCCACATTAAATCATTCAGTGCCACATTAAATCATTCAGTGCCACATTAACTCATTCAGTGCCACATTAAATCATTCAGTGCCAACGTTAACTCATTCAGTGCCACCATTAACTCATTCAGTGCCACATTAAATCATTCAGTGCCAACGTTAACTCATTCAGTGCCAACGTTAACTCATTCAGAGCCACATTAACTCATTCAGTGCCAACGTTAACTCATTCAGTGCCACATTAAATCATTCAGTGCCACATTAAATCATTCAGTGCCACATTAAATCATTCAGTGCCACATTAAATCATTCAGTGCCACATTAAATCATTCAGTGCCACATTAAATCATTCAGTGCCACATTAACTCATTCAGTGCCACATTAAATCATTCAGTGCCAACGTTAACTCATTCAGTGCCACATTAAATCATTCAGTGCCACATTAAATCATTCAGTGCCACATTAAATCATTCAGAGCCACATTAACTCATTCAGTGCCACCATTAACTCATTCAGTGCCAACGTTAACTCATTCAGTGCCACATTAACTCATTCAGTGCCACATTAAATCATTCAGTGCCACCATTAACTCATTCAGTGTCACCATTAACTCATTCAGTGCCACCATTAACTCATTCAGTGCCAACGTTAACTCATTCAGTGCCACATTAAATCATTCAGAGCCACATTAACTCATTCAGAGCCACATTAACTCATTCAGTGTCACCATTAACTCATTCAGTGCCACCATTAACTCATTCAGTGCCAACGTTAACTCATTCAGTGCCACATTAAATCATTCAGAGCCACATTAACTCATTCAGAGCCACATTAACTCATTCAGTGCCACATTAAATCATTCAGTGCCACATTAAATCATTCAGTGCCACATTAACTCATTCAGAGCCACATTAACTCATTCAGTGCCACATTAACTCATTCAGTGCCACATTAACTCATTTAGTGCCACCATTAACTCATTTAGTGCCACCATTAACTCATTCAGTGCCACCACCAACTCATTCAGTGCCACCATTAACTAATTCAGTGCCACATTAACTCATTTAGTGCCACCATTAACTCATTTAGTGCCACCATTAACTCATTTAGTGCCACCATTTACTCATTCCTTGCTACCATCCACTCATTCCTTCCTACCATTCACTCATTTCTTGCTACCATTCACTCATTCCTTCCTATCATTCACTTATTTCTTGCTACCATTCACTCATTCCTTGCTACCATTCACTCATTCCTTGCTATCATCCACTCATTCCTTCCTACCATCCACTCATTCCTTCCTACCATCCACTCATTCCTTCCTACCATTCACTCATTCCTTCCTACCATTCCCTCATTCCTTGCTACCATTCACTCATTCCTTGCTACCATCCACTCATTCCTTCCTACCATCCACTCATTCCTTCCTACCATTCACTCATTCCTTCCTACCATTCCCTCATTCCTTGCTACCATTCACTCATTCCTTCCTACCATTCACTCATTCCTTCCTACCATTCACTTATACATTACCAGGCAATGCAGTATATATATTTATTAGAGCTTTTTATTACCACACACACCCCCCCCCCCCCAACTGAATTATGGAATTAAGTGGTTTAATCTAAGCGCAGATTACCTAGCTTCTTGTAGTTCTGATTCTTCTTTTTCCCTGACTCTCCTCAGATTTTCTGTGTAAATAACCATCACTTCCATTGCTTTGCACATTCGTTTCTCCTGTAACACACCACGGAAACAAGATTTAAAATAACCATTGCTGGAACAATAATTGTTCTCATGAATCTTTCATGCTTATCAAAATACTATTTGATGTATTGTATTGTTTAACATTTGCATGGTAATGATTATCATTTCTCTTCCCACAGAACCATAGGGAGAAAACATTTAGTACTGGCCAGGTGCTCGCTGAAAAATCGTGGAAATCTGAAAATCGTGGGGTTAGGTCCTGATGAGGCTGGACTTTTTTTTACACACACACAAATTAACTTGCCTCCTAATTAAGGTTATTTCCTTTAAAGTTGGAGTGCATCTGCTGCCTGAGAGGCGATGGTCCAACGGTTTGCATATAAATCAGCGAGATCTGTAAAATCAATGCGCATGCAAAACTCAACCCCTGGAGCAAAACTAAAGAAAGGTGAGAAAAAGAAGAAGAAAAAGAAGAAGATAATAATTAAGAGAGCCAAGAGACCAACCTGTTGAACTGCACCATACACTTCAGCTCTGCTTGACACTCTGGCAGCTAATTGTTCTAGAATACCAATGTGTTTTTTGATTTTCTGGAGAATTCCTCTGGTCTGTTTGTCTGTAACTAAATCACTTAATATCTGGAAAAGAGATGTACAGTACAGTCATGTCACAACTTTTTTTTTTTAACGTAACAGTTAAATTTAAACTTTTGAATTATACTTTTATTTCAAATGTGTCAACAAACAGATACAACTTTATGCTGCGTGGTCATGAGGCATGGCGTCCGCCTCGAGTGCTGGAGATCCCGGGTTCAGATCCCGATGAAGGCTGGGATTTTTTTAAAGATGAACTTCTAGTAATTACCACTGGTCTTTGAGTAATAAGATCAGACTCCCGTGTGTAGCCTTGCAAATCGTAAAGAGTAGCCTAACGGCGCTGCCCGGGCAAAATGTGGAGTTAAAAACTACTCATAGTGTTTCAGAATCCTCGCTGGTGCTACGGAGTTCGTGCACTGCGCTGAGACTTCGGACTCAGGCTTGAGTTAGAAGTAGAATGGATCACTTATGGTTTACCCCTTGGGCAGTGATGTTGATCCGTTGTCTGAACCAAACCAAACAACTTTATATTTCCAACTAAAAAGTTCATATGGTTAAATAAATACCTTGCATTTAGTTGTGTGGAACATCTTTCACACGTACACTTCGGATGAATACATGGTATTTAATGGCAAGACAAGGTCACAAACACTGAGGTATTGGAAAGAGCGAGCAACACAACAGTTTTTTTCAGTGGTCAGTCTTCGAAGGCTGAGATGGCTACGTCGCACTTGGAGGAGGGAAAATAGTAAAGACCCAAAGGACATCCTTCGTGGCGAATTACAAATTGGTATAAGGTCCGCCTCTACTATGAAATAAAAATATGTACAAGCAGGACATAAGTAATACAGGTAGTGAGATAGAAACAAAATGCAATGGATCATGTTGGGCAATCAGATGAATTAAGAGCTAACCGTCTGAGAAGAAACACAACTGTGTTTGTGTGTGTGCATTCGTGCGTGTGTATATGTGAGCGAGAAATGGTTAGCAGTAAACAAGACAAACATCTGTAGTCAGAACATTAAGACCAATGCCAGATGGTATAAACTACTTGGTTGAAAAAGAGATTGAAAGATAAGTAGAAAGTAAAAAAAGAAAATAGTATAGTTGCTAATAGGACATTAAACATCAAAACAAATTTGTGAAACATTAATCAGAGTATACCATCAACGCGTGGGTTCCTGGGGCCCATTGTTGGGAAAACAAGCGTGTCGCAAGAGCCAACTTACTGGAGGCTTCCGTCGAAGTCGGAGTGCATTTGCCTGAGAGGTAAGGAACCAACAACTTGCATAAGTTAGACTGTAAAACGGATGTGCACGCAACTCTTGTGTTCTTGAACAAGACCTAATTCCGGAGGTGTACGAATATCTAAAACTTACCGCCAGAGTTTACAGCTGTGAACGCGAAGAAAAAGAAGAATGTGCCAGATTCACTGACAATTCAAGGAAAACATACATAAATATGCTACTGTTACCTCCACACTCTCTCGCAGACCCCGCAGTTCTGTGTCCACATTTTTTTCAGCCAAATCTCTGGATCTTTCTTGCACAATCACCCGCTGGTCAAGTGTCAGTTTGTCTGTCTTAAAGGCCAGTGCTAAACTAACGAAAGTGCTCTGGAGGAAACAAAACGAAACAAAAATAGTATTATAATAGCAACTGATAAGACCTGACGGGCCTCTGCGATCATCATTATTCACATCTCAAGACATTAAGCCAGTCTATCAGTTCTTTCATTGTCATTAACGCTTACATAGTGTTAATTACACTACCAAAGTAATCACAAACAAAGCTCATTATGCATCCGGAGCATTTAATCAAGCACAATATCGTAAGAAATTTCAAATTTGGCGGACAGGCAAGCTTCTAGCCTTTTTATTCCTTTATTGTAGTATGTCTGTTCATGTCAGTTACAGAGATATCCAAGTATGCAAAGACTAGTGTCGGCAGTATGCGCGGAGGAAACCATATCGGTTCAACGGGCACGACGGCGACACTAGCAAAGCGCTGTGCAGCGCAAAGAGCATGGCGAGACACTTAGAACGCCCTGGTCATCCACTGCACCTAGACCTAAATCCAGTCGTCTTGACTCTGTCTTGCCAGTGGACCCAGATATGACTCAGGCGAGACAGTGAGGTCGACGACACTGCGCAACTCTACCTCACTTTAATCCAGGTCACCGCGCAAGTCACACTTCCATCACAGGCTCCATTTTTTTATGGTGAGCTGCAAAATGGGAAACTTTCCCAGGGTAGGCAAAAGAAACATTTTTAGGACACCTTGAAGTCTTCATACAAAGCATTTGAGATGAATGACACCAATTGGGAGGCTGCCTCTCTAGACCAAAACGTATAACGTGCACACGGGCGTGGCTACGTATGAAGCAAACAGAACAGCAAGACATTAAGAAAAGGATGGACAGAAAGGCGACTGCAGGAGATCCCCTTCCTTGCACAAATCTCATTCCTTCCTCACTGTCCAAGAACTTCTCGGGCCCGCATCGGCCTCATCATTCATCTTCGTACTCATACTTGATGAAACAGAGTGGTCATCATCATTATTTTGATGGACAACCCACACACACAGAGATATGTCTGTAAATGTCGGCTCATCTATGTGTACAGTGATATACTGTACTTCATGTAGTGCATGCCTAGTTCTGTCTCTAACTTCTTGCTGAATATGTGTAGTGGTTAAGTTCCCCTTATAATTTTTCTTTCAGGCACCATTTGTCCTTTTATACTGAGCTGATACTTCAAATTATTGTTATTAATTTTATTATTAAAAATTTTGTTATTATTTATATCATCACTATCATTAACAGTAATTTATCTGTTCTTCTTCTTCTTCTTTTTCTTCCTCTTCTTCTTCTTCGTCTTCTTCTTTTTCTTCTTCTTCTTCTTCACTTCTTCTTCCTCCTCCTCCTCCTCCCTCTTTCCCCACCCCCACTCCTCAGTTGTATTTTCCCAAATTCCTGATTCTGCACCAGCTCCTCTTTCCCTACCCTCTTCTCCATCCGGTTTTGTCTGTCAAGCGTCAGGTTAGAATTTGGCATGCAGTCTAAGCTCTGTTATGTTTCATGTCCAATAAATGCTGACAATGTATAGGTAAATGTTTTTCACTATAGTCAGAATGCATACATTTCTTATTTCAAATACATACAAAATAAGGTAGTTTTAATGCCTACAATATAACTCCTTCCTTATACAAACAACATTACTTCTTTCTAATACATAAAACGTTACTCATTTTAAGTTTACTGTGGAGGTGTGTGTGTGTGTGTGTGTGTGTGTGTGTGTTAAAAAAGGGGGAGGGGATATGTTAAGGAATACAAACATTACACATCTGATAGCCATTTATGTTTTATTTTGGAGGATAAATAAAAGTAAAGATATAAATATAACATTACAGGTTTAAAACTTTATGTGGGCTTTGTAAGATTAGTGTCGGGATAGGGATTTGAAAACAAAAACGCAGGATATGTTTCCAAGTCTTGAGGCATGTTTGGCTAATTATGTAGAGTATTAAAGCCATCAGCAGTGGTTTGGTGACATAGTCAATATGAGGTTACTTGACTTTACTCGCCTGCACTTTTCCTAGTTACCATAACGACAGGTGAGTCTAACAGTTTCTGTTGCTTATTCTCGTATGACGTTTTATTCATATGAGGTCATGACAGGTATGCTTCGTGCAGAGTGGCATGTGTACTGTGGAGGTCACTGGGGAGGAGTATTGTCCTGTATTCCCAATATTTACTGAAGTGGCTTTTCTAAAAATTCTCAGTGTTAACAAATTTGTTAACATTTAACTATGGTGATGTAATTAGTATCTGGTATTTTAAATGTCGACATTATATAAAAGCAGGGATTTTTTTCCACCTAGAAGAAAGGTGTCGGTACTCACCATAAGGTGTCAGAAAAAGTTACCGGTTCTCACTACAAAGTGTTTATTACTGTAGCAATGAAAATGTGATGCTTCAAAGAGGTGCTGCTACTGCACACCGTTGCGTACTACCAGAAAAATGAAGTCCTGTTCACAAGTCTTTTACTGCTTATTCTTCAATCCTTATGTTAGAAAAACTTAGATCGAGACGCTAGTGTGTTAATGAATGTTGCTGCAAGTAATTAGTGATTACGTGATGTCAGGAGGATTTTATTTCAGGTGGCTATGGCTAGTAATTTGACGGAGGGTAGACTGGGAGTTAAAGATCAATTAGTAGACAATGATCATTATTGATCGTGTGGTTGTCGGAACGCCAACATATTTAGGAGGGGAATATGTGGCTTTGATGCAACCCAATCGTGCGGAGACTAATAAATTATAATAAATACTAGCTGTACCCGGCCACGCGTTGCTGTGGCATAGTTTAGCTAAATGGGAAAAAAAGAAAATATAAATCGGACGTGTCTAATATGGTTACTGTCACAATCATTGACTGCGCACATACAGAGATAGTCCATCGATGCCCTTCCCCCTCCTATTTCCACCTACTACTCACTCCCTCATCAAGGGCTTTTAAAAAAGAAAGACAATGGAAATCGCACGTATCTAATATAGTTAATGTCGCAGTCATTCTCTGCACAGATATAGAGATAGTCTGGTTTGCCACTTTAGAACCGCAATATATAATTGCGTCTTTATATTAGTGGTCGTTTAAATGGTATTGTTAGCACAGTAAAAAAAAAATGGTTATTTGGTTATCACATGCTAAAACTGTTTGTATTTTTTTCAAGAGACGAAAGTAAAGCTTACTACTGTACTTGTAAATAACCAAGTAAGTCGTTAAAAAAATGAGAATAGCGGAGGTAGACTTAGTAAAATATAATCAAATTAAGAAATGAAATCTTCAAAATCATGCGTTAAGCTCTTTAAGTTAACAATTTCAGTCATCACCCCTCCGCTCCCCTATCCACCGAATACTGCTCTCTGCCTCAACAAAGGATTTGAAAGTCATCAGCTGAAGATATTTTTTGTAACTGACGTTGATAGCCCTGTCCATCCGGACTAAAATAGGGAGCAGGAATTGTAATGAATAGTAAATGCGGCTAGTGTAATATTTACCACACTATCCTCCAAGTACCAGTACAACTACTACCGCCACCACAATAATTAAAATAATGTCACTGCTATCTATCGACAGGGAGTCGTGAGACAGAGGATTTGGCGCCGCAAGGCTTATGCTGTCGGCACGGACTGGTCAGGTTAGGATGTGTAATTTCGCTCCCCAACAGAAAAATGCCATCACCTTACCGGCGGTCCCCGGCATGACAGCACTACGGTGTAACCGCCCAATCACAACTACTACTACTGCTACTTTGAGTGGGTAAGGGAGTTACTTTGACTTAAAGCTCTTTCAGTTACCAGTTTATGCTACCCCGCCTACCCCCGCCCCCCCTTTTTCCTTTACTGACTACTCTTTCCTTCATCGAAGTAGTTTGGAGAAAAAAACCAATTGAAATGCAACAAAAACAGGAAAAATACACCATAATTACGAAATGAACGCTATGATAAACAACGCAGCATAATTCCAACGCAAAGTCAGAAGAAATAATTAAATCGAAATGAAAATAAATGGAAATCTATAAAAATTCAGCGTAACCATGCAATCGGAAAGTTTGAAATGAAATCATAAGTATGCGAAATGGTCAAATTTAATTATCAACTGGTTTACCCACATACCTATTTTCAGAGCAGGTCTGGGTTTTATTTTTGCCCCTGGGTAAAAAAAAAAAAAAGGGAACTACTGTATGGAGAAACCCGGCTCTCCTGTCAACTTAGGCCGTTAGCTGGACTGCCGCCGATCGCTTAGTGGGAGTTCTCTCCCTTGGCTGGATTGCAAACACGGAGCGGAAAAGTCACGAATCAAATGACATACTTACCTATCATCATACGGTTGCGTGTAGGGTTGCGTAGTCATCATACGGTTACGGTTACCTATCATCATAAGGTTGCGTGTACGGTTGCGTAGTCATCATACGGTCATCATAAGGTTTGGGTTAGGGTTAGGGATAGGGTTAAGGATAGGGTTAGCGGCGTTAGGGGTTGGGTTACGGTTGGGGTTAGGGTTTGGGTTAGGGTTCGCAATGCAGCCACGGGAGAGAACTCCCACTAAGCGATCGGCGGCTTTCCAGCTAACGGCCCAAGTTGACAGGAGAGCCCAAAAACAGAACTAAACTATGCCATATGTGTGTTCCAATTCTAACACAACTCAAAACCGCAGGCAATAGTTTTCTCATAAACAGATATCCCAGATATAAACTTCAAGTATTATTGAAACGGCACAATAATAGAAATCGTACGTGTCTAACTCATCAAAGGTTGTTTGAAAATAAAGAAAATAGAAATCGTGTCTAATATGGTTAATGTCGCAATTAGCGATATAGAGATAGTCTGGTTTGCTGTACGGGTGGATGTAAAAAATAGAGCGTCCCGTGTCTACTGCGCATGCACTGTGAAAGTCGATCGCCCATGCGCATTTAATAACGTGGCTATAATTAAATGTCACTAAAAATGGAAATATTAGTTTCGAAGATGTTTCGAACAAATGTGGTCACCTATCTCTAACAGTGACAGGTAGAATTTCAAACCATAATGGGTAAACATCCGGTATCAAAACAAACATATCCTGAAAATTTCAGCTACATCGGTTCAGTAGTTTCCGAGTCTATAGCTCATAAACAAACACACAAACATTGATTTTTTTTTTATACAGATAGCCTAATTCATTTTTGTCTTAATAAGGAATGGCTCAGAAAGAATATTAATGGGAGAAATGTTCTTTAAAAAATAACTGGTTGAAAACTGATACCTCAACTAGAATGGCCTTGCAAAGGAACCCAAAGAGAGTCAAAGGCATAAAAGCGAACTAAAAACACATGAGGGAAGAGCGGGGAAAATTAAAGCGTGAAATTAAAAGATGAAAAGGAAATGAGATGAGCCACACTTAACATAAAAGGATTGGCATGAGTTGGCTGAAGGTCAATGCTTCATTGGGGATCATGGGCAGATGATACATAAGGTTGGTGGAAGAGAAGAAAAAAAAAAACAAGATGTTATCAACAAATAAGGGAAGCATACATAGTAAAGACACAATGAACATAGAAGTCCGCGAGGCGTGTATACTGGTGTCAGTTCAAGAATGTTTCAGATTATAGCAGCGTTCTGTAAATTACCTGGCACCTAATGATGTTGGTGATACCAAAGGTTTGAGATGACTTGTTTTTTGTTTTGTTTTATGGGATGAATTCAAAAGGAATGCAGAAATAATAGAAATGTCCGGGCTGCACAACCTCTGGTAACAATCATTACAAGACAACAGAAAAAGCCCCTATATTTCACAGATCTTGAGAAGAGAAGAGCAGCGATTCACCAAACAGGCACTCAGATGTGAAACAGCGGGATTGAGGAAACCAGGAAGCCAGAAAAAAAAAACCACAAGAGTGAGTGCCATCGGTGGACTGGGTTCTATCCATGACAAGAATCAATAGCACAGGACAGCATGGAATGGAGAAACAGACAGCCAGCCCCATGTGACATACAACAGGACAATGATGCCGATGATGATGTTGTTTCTCTCCCTTACCTCTATCTCTTTCTCTGGAAGTTGATCAAGACTGAAATAATAATAATAAATAACTGTTAAAATAATGGGGAATGTATGTGTAATTAAGAATGATTTTCACGTTTATGCACACACACACGCCAGGGCACAAACACGCGCTCACGCACTCACACACACTCACACAAATTCACATACATGTGTATAAATGCGTCTGTAACTAAGTAGGTTGATAGGTAGATAGGTAGGCTGGTAGGCAGGTATGTAGACAGGTAAGTAGATAGAAGGCAGACAGGCAGACATATAGACAGACATATTTATGTGTAAATACAAAACCTGTACATTAAAAAGACACAGATTACCTAGTTTCTCCTTTAGGTTTAATTATCTAACCACAAAGCATTACTTGCCAAATTTAATCTCTCTCTCTCTCTCTCTCTCTCTCTCTGTCTCTCTCTCTCTCTGTCTCTCTCTCTCTCTCTGTCTCTCTCTGTCTCTCTCTCTCTTTCTCTCTCTCTCTCTCTCTCTCTCTCTCTCTCTCTCTCTCTCTCTCTCTCTCTCTCTCTCTCTCTCTCTCTCTCTCTCTCTCTCTCTCTCTTTCTTTCCTTTTCTGTCCCATATTCCTCTCAGATTAACTCAGTATGTTATTACAATAATTCACTAGGTCCAGATACTTCTCACATTAACCCACTTTGTTATTACAGCTAATTTTTGTCAAGCCATGTCTTACATTAACCCACACTTATTGCAGCAAGTGGTTCCCCATACTTCTTACATTAACCCATTCTGCTATTACAAAGCTCATTTTTGTCAAGCCATGTCTTACATTAACCCACACTTATTGCAGCAAGTGGTTCCCCATACTTCTTACATTATATTAACCCATTCTGCTATTACAAAGCTCATTTTTGTCAAGCCATGTCTTACATTAACCCACACTTATTGCAGCAAGTGGTTCCCCATACTTCTTACATTATATTAACCCATTCTGCTATTACAAAGCTCATTTTTGTCAAGCCATGTCTTACATTAACCCACACTTATTGCAGCAGCTCATTTTGTTTCAGATACTTCTTACATTAACCCATTCTTTTATTACTATAGCTTATATTTGTCCAACCAATTCTTACATTAACCCATACTCATTGCAGTACGATGTTCCACATACTATTTCCATTAACCCACACTTATTGCAGCAACTAATTTTGTTCCAGATACTTCTGACGTTAACTCACTCTGTTCTCACAATAGCTGGCTGTGGCCTAGGCATTTCTCATAGTAACACACACTGTTATTATAATAGCTCATCACCATGTAGGCAATGTGGCCCCATTGTCGGGAGGGGGGTGGGGGGGGGCACAATAATATACCAACTTTTGTCTAACAAGCAGAGCGTAAGAGTCGCCTAATTAGGTTTCCCTCTAAGTCGGAGTGTATCTGCGTGAGAAGCGAAGAACCAAAAGTCTGCATACAAACAAGCGGTTTCAGATCCTTCTGACAGTAATCTACTTTATTTTATAAAAATTCATTCTGTCCGATATGCGCAAATACAGAGCATTGAACCAATTATATAAATCATCGAAAGTGTGTTTAGTTAAAAAATGTGTCCCTTCAGGTTAGAGTGAGAGACAGAGACAGAGAGACAGAGAGAGAGAAAGAGAGAGAGAGAGCGCGCGCGAGAGAAACTGCGAGAGAGAGTGAAAGACAGGAAGGAAGTTGGAAATAAAATATTTTGCTGTCTTCTATTAATGGCGCCGTTAGTGGTGGAGGAGAGGAATAGAACGAGTTAGAATGAAAATAACATATTGCTGTCTTTTTTTAATGACGCTAAATGGGAAAAGAGAAGGCAAATACGAGAGAGAGAGAGAGAGAGAGAGAGAGAGAGAGAGAGAGAGAGAGAGAGAAAATGAAATACATTTTTTATTGTCTTATATAAAGGCCACTCTTATTGAAGAGAGACAGAGAGAATAGATAGATAGAGACAGAAAGGGGGCAGAAAAATAGAGAATAAAACATTATATTTGCTGTCTTTTGTTAATGACCCCAGTGTTGAAGAGAGAACGAGAGAGAGAGAGAGAGAGAGAGAGAGAGAGAGAGAGAGAGAGAGAGAGAGCGAGAGAGAGGAGAGAAAGAGATAGAGGAGAGATGGAAACCAAATATATTGCCATCTTCCATTAACGCCACCTCTAGTGGATGAGCACAGGTGAACTACAACTGGCTTCCATATTGTGAACGATACATTCTCCACATCCGCTCCAGGAGATGGATGTCTCAGTTCTAATAAATGACCCGCGCTCTCTTGTTCCTGAACTTTCAAGAAAAGATAAAAAACCGAACGAAAAGTATATTCCTGAACTGAACACTGCACCAGCTTTCATGAGTTTTATCGTTAACTTAGCTACGATTGTTTCCTCGTAAATGTGCAGTATCGGAAACTGCGGTTGCTCAATAGCTAGGTACATATTTCTGATCAGAATGTCTTCCCTTTGAATTCTCATCAAGGTGTGTGTGAGTGTGTGTGTGTGTGTGTGTGTGTGTGTGTGAGTGTGTGTGTGATTGTGTGAGTGTGTGTGAGTGTGTGTGTGTGTGTGTAGTTTTTTTCCTTTCTTTTTCAAACTTGTTTTTTGTGTGTGTGTGTGTGTAGCTCTCAGGTCGAGCTAGCGACAAATGAGTACCAGCATGACCTTTTCACCACAAAGTCTACATTACAGAAGCGCTGAATAAACGTGATCAACCCCATCCCCCTCCCCACCCACCCTCTCCAATGGTGTCGGTTCTGCGTACAGTTGTGTACCGCTAAACAGAAAGCCCTAGGTACCTGGAAAGGTCTTCGGATAGAAAGGGGGTCGGCGTCATATTGACCACTAAACTCATCGAGTGCCACTTTATTCGGAAGAAGTGTTTAACACGGTATTCCCGATGCGTTACTAGCGTAAGAAATGATCATATACTAGCTTATATACACCAGTATTGCGATATTAAGTTAGGGGGGGGGGTTGTGGTCAAGCAGTTTGACTCACGCTCTGAAGTTCGTGGGTTCGTTTCACGGTTGCACCCTTCAGTTCAAAAGTGCATTTTTTACACAGATTTCTCAGGATCATCGCCGGAGCAACGGAGCTCGTGCTCTGTGCGGCGCACTCGACAGGAGAGAGACCGAGCCATATGGGATAAAACCCGGTACAATGAAGTCGATCCTCTCGACTTTAACTTTAACATTGCGCTATGCATATACAGTAAATGGGAGCTGCGTGGCCTCCAAGTATGGCATGCGCCTACAGTGCTGGAGGTCCCAAGTTCAAACCCCGGTAAAGGCTGGGATTTTTCACATGAATTTCTAGTAATTTCTCCTGGTCTCTGGGTTGTAAGACTAGACGCCCGTGTGTATTGTTGCGCATGTAAAAATACTTTGGCGGAAATAATAAAAAGAGTAGCCTAACGGCGCTGCCCGGGCAAAGTTTTAAGTTAAAAATCTACCCAAAAGAGTATTTAAGGATCCTCGCCGGTGCAGTGGAGTTCGTGCACTGCCCTGAGAGTCTTCAGACTTGGGTTTGAATTAGAAGTAGAACGGAGCACTTATGGGTTCACATCCGTGTGCCATGATGTCGATCGGTTCGCTAAACTAAACCATATACCGGCTGCAGTCCTGGAAGAGAAAAATCACCTTCCTGACCTTTACATTATACGGCATTATCTTCTGGCGGCCCACGTAGACTTTTCCACGGCCCGCAAGTGGGCTGCAGCCCAATGTTTGAAGAACAGTGAACTAAAGGACCCTTTTCACGCAGTCGCGCATCATTCATATGATCCTAGACATATTTGTAGAGACAGATCTGGTCTCAAAAGGTGATTTGTCACTATCACAGTGAACGCCTTTAATTAAAATGACTTTTCGTGGCAACTATTTTAGACCGGGTCCATTTGGGAGCCAATATCATCAAGCTATTCGCCTGTGCGAATTCTTCTTGTTCTTGCTCCTCTTCTTCTTCTTCTTCTTCTTCTTCTTCTTATTCTTTGTATTTTTTTTCTTCTTCTTCTTTTCTTCTTCTTTTTTTTTTTTCTCTTTTTCTTCTTCTTATTCTTTTTGTCTTCTTTTTCTTCATTTTCTTCTTCTTCTACTTCTTCTTCTTTTTTTCCGTTCACTAGCGGTAAACTCCAGCGGAAAGTTATGTTTGTTAGTCCACTTCTGGCTTTGTTCCAGAACTTGAATTCTGCGTGCACATCCGTCTCTACAGGTTTGACTTACGTGTATACAGACTGTTGGCTGCTTGTCTCTCAGTCAGATGCGCTCCTTCTTCGGAAGAAAATATTTATTTCATCGCATTTTACTATATATGTTTTTTTAGGAAGGCAGTGGTATTATTCCCATCCTCACCTTTACCCCAAACAGAGCCCCAGAAACCACACAGGGAGGTGTGAATTCGAACTAAAGACCCTTGGATCAGCAGGCGATTATCTAGCCACTTTGCTAACGTAGCTACCATAGATATGCTTGTACAATCTTGAGTTATGAAAGTGGCCATGTACCTGGGCGACTTGAATCTGAACAGATCACGTTATTAGAAACAACATTATCTCGTTTCACTCGGCTTTTATGTGGCGCTTTGAAACGTCCGAGATTTGTTTGAAGTTAAACGATAAGCCAGCGAGTTGATATTAGCAGGAGGGAATGTGAACATCTCGCAAAGTTAACCCCGCGTGCAAAATCAAAATTTGCCCTAGATCAACTAGGCAGCGCCTCACATGCCTTTCTCTGTGGAATGTCAAACTTAGCTTACCGGATCGAGTGTATACTTCATTATTGGAGCATGGAAAACCTTCATGGTTACAGCCTGTGTGTGGATGCACACGCGCATGTGCATGTTTGTGAGTTGAATTACATATCCTTTAGGTTGTGATTTCCAGGGATGAATTATCCCCCACCACTGTCGTTATCTAATGATGTCGCATTTTGCAATTACCTTTTGTTTTTTTCATATACCAGGGGGCTGCATGGTCTCGAGGCATGGTGTCCGCCTCGAGTGCTAGAGGTACCGGGTTCAATCTCCGGTAAGGGCT